AAAAGAAGGAAAAGATTTGTTGCGCCAAACTCCAACAGGAGCATTACCACATTCTTAGTGATCCTGTCCATCTTAAAAAGGTCTTCCGAGTTCCTGATGGAGTCAAATATATTGAACTCCTTTTGGGTGATGTTAGCAACTACTACTGCCCAGTGCTTTTTGTGTACAACCATGAAGAATAGCTGCAATGCATCAAAACAACACAGAACCAGAAAATCCATTTAGAAAAAAAAATGTAAAAAAAATAGAAAAAGAATGCAAGATGGAACAAGATAAGAACTTACCAGGTCAGATTTTGAAATGTGATTTTGTAAGCAAGCATTCTTAAATTCTTTTTCACACGCCTTCGGATCAAACACATCTGGCTCAGCACTGAGTTACAACTGATGGAGAAAATCAGAAAACAAAAAAAATATTAGAGGGCAGACCACAACTATATGATAAATCAAAAAAGCATTGAAACAACAGATAGAGAAAAGAGATTTGAACACTAACACTCATCAACACCGAGAAAACAATTTTTTTTGGCTTCTTCTTCTTCACTGACTGATCATAGTTGAATGTCTTCAGGTATAAGGTCATGACCTCATTGTCAATCTCCGCTCTTGGCTTTAGAGATGCATGAAAATTCTCGAGAGATGTATGGAAGCCATCTATTTCAATGAAGTCGGGCCTGTAAAAAGAAAATTTGTGTTGATTTTAGATAAAAACAGCAAGAGATATGCTCACATATCAAACTCTTTCATCTATGAAAACACACAAAAAAAGATTTCAGGCAAAAATGAGTAATAGAAAAGCATCATCATATGACTCACAGAAGCTCGTTTTTCTTTGGTTTTCTTGTCTTGTATCTGGTCATTACATACTGATGGTGTAAGGCATCACCGTGTGCATCAACCTTAATCTTCTTCATCGTTGGCACATTGTCTGGGGAGAGAGCCACCCTTTTCTTCTTTGACTGTTTACCAAGACTGTTGGACTCACCCCTGACCGCAACATTCGCCTCGGTTGTCTCGTGCAAATCCACTACTACTGCACAGCATTGCAACAACACAAAAACAAAGAGAAAAATGAGAATGCAAAAAGGAAACGCACTGAGAAAACTCTTAGATAAAAAGAGCTTGTGTTCTGAAGCAAGAAAAAACCTTGAGGTCCATCGGAGGAAGCGTTTTTGAATGAGATGGGGGACACATCAAACACAGGCCCCGGAATGTCGTTTGCCCTAGGGAGCTTTGGAGCTGTGTCAAATGTTGCGGTTGGGAGGTTGCTAGGCCTGCGGTTGGGAGGTTGCTAGGCCTTTCAACTTGAGGAGTGTTGTCAAAGTTTGGCACTAATGGGATTGAATTCTGCACATCAGAGCTAGAAGCATTTGGTGTCTGCACATGCTTGACTGGTATGTCTACTTTTTGATTCATCCACTCATAGTCTTCGGTCCCCTCCACGAAAAGAGCACAAGATGGGCCATCTTCCCACTCCAAGGCAGTTACCATCATTGCCTGCATCGTGCCCTGGGAAAGAACTGGTGTTTCAACCTTATCAAAAGCTCCCGAAGGATCCATGTTGCAAACATCTTTGGGGGTCACCTTTCCGCCCTGATGTATAACTTCCTCCTGCTCCACACAATCCTTCCCATGAGAATGATTGCTACTCTCACCTTGTTGCAACGCATCACCCCTGGAACGCTTAGCAACGCTTGTGCTTTGACCCGCCCCCTGTTTCGCTTCCACCCCAACCTTCTCACCTAATGCACCGGTCTCCACTACTTTGGGAGTAGCAACTACACCACCAGGTTGTGCCTTGTTCTGATCATCAGCACCTGCTTCTTCCCGGGAATCAGGATCCGATAATGGACACTTGGAAGAGTGGATAGCAATGCCTGCTGCAGTGGCTGTTGGGGTGCCAAAAGTCACCGCTCCCGTGCGCTCGACACTGCTTGTTGCAATGACTCTTTGGGCGACAAAACCTTCACTCCTGTGCTCATGGTTTGACACTGCATTGGAGTGCGCTTCCATCAACATGAGACCCAACCGCTTGCAGAAAGTTGACTGCAGGACCTGCCCAAACGAGGTAACAACATTCTTCAACTCTGCCGTATAGAGATTTTTGTGCTTCTCATATATAGGCTTCAAGTGCAAAGGTATCTGGCACAGAAAATAAGAAACCAACAAATGGGGGTAAGCATAAATAAATATGAAAAGAAGATCAAAAGAACACAAAGAAGCAAAATCATGCACTTAAATTAATTGGTTTTAACAAGGTAGTGCATTTCTACCTCTAACTCTTGGCAGGAAGGGAGTCGGCTGCAGCCACTCATCCAGAGAGACGCGAAACTTAGCGCCTAAATCACCCTCAACACTGACTTGAGTGTTGGCTTTGTCAGCTCTATTAGTGATATTTGCCGGATGATGTTGATTCTGACCCTCACATTGCTTGTCCGCCTTCAGTATTGCATATGGCGTTTGAAACAAAGGACGATGCTGCATACAACAATCACCAAAGAAGAAAGTAAGATGTTTATCACCGAAAGAAATCTTTAGAAAAAGGAAGATTGGGTCTGCTCTTACATTGCGCTTCCCAAAATCAACCTTCTCGAGGGTGAGCTTGTTCCTGTCAAAATCTTTAGCAAGCTCAAAATATGCATTGCACACAAAGCAAGCCCTGGGCAGCGAGTAGTTAAATGTCTCCTCACTAATCAATGAGCGAGGCACATCCAGGAAATCCATGTAAATTAACTACATATATTTTTGAAAAAGAAAACAAATCATAAGGTTGTATCGTACATATGATTGTTGCGAGCAGAATAAAATAAAATAAAGTAAAGCAAAAATATGAACCAATGAAAACATAGACAAAATGATTTTTGTTTGGCATACCACGAACATAGGTAGACAACCGCCTATCCAGAAGCCACTTGCCCCAGCCTCCCTCTTTAGTTGGTAATTCCTCGCCTCCCTCAACGCAGTTGCCAACACATGCTCGTCCCATGCAAACTCATTCAGTTCATCCAAGTCCTTCAAGCTAGCAAGGTAGTCCAACGAGACCATGTTGCCGGTGCCAGGAACTAGCACGAGAGCAAGGCATAAAAGAACCCAAGTCCTCTCTAAAGTAACAACGTCATTATCCGATACTTTCTTGATTACAGAAATGGATTTCTTCATTGGAGCCCTTGTGCCTTCTTGATATATGTCGCGCAGCTCGCAACGTTCGTTCCTCTTCAGCAGCTCCACTGCCCTTGGTCCGGATGGGATATTAAAAATTTTGTGTACCATGTCTCTAGTGAACAATATAGTCTTCTTTTTATGGCTGACAAAAAGGCACATGTCAAATTCGAGGACGAAGAACATTGCTATGCAATTCCAAATAAAGAACATTGCAACAGAGACACACACAAAATGAAATGTGCCAGAGGGTGATTTGAAGGTACCTGAACAAAGAATGCTTAGTGTCAATTCTCATAACTACCTAGTCAATCAGCTCGATAGGTACAGAAAATGGTCTGATCTTCAACAACGAACCAAAACTTGACTTCTCTAGCACTGCCTTCTTGTTAGCATTCAGCTCCTTGTCTGCAACCTCACGGCTAGCTGAAAAGCGCGTTGAAAACGACCCATCGGAAGATTCATCATCATCCATTTTTGGATCACTGCAAAAAAAAAAGAACAAAAAGGAAATGTTCAGAACACCCATTAACAACACTAAAAGCTATAGAGAAGGAATGCATGAAAATCTGAAACTTGTGAAAAAAAATCTGAAATATACTTGGTCATTGCATGAAAATGCTGGTTGGTCATTCATTTTAGGAGGCCACATAAAAAAATTGCAATGTAGCATCTTCACTAACTTCTGAAAGGGAAAACCTATATAGCTATCACTAACAGATATCAAATAAAAACAAACACAAACAACTACTTCTGCAATTTTCATGCAATATGGGTAAAATCCTGGGGTAACATGTACTGCAATGCAACACAACTACCTCCTGAACAAACACAACAACAGACAAAACTACACTAAAATCTACAACTCACAAGTACTACAAATGCAAAAAAAATGCCTAATCATATCTCTACATCATCAGACCTGCTACACACATAAAAACAGTAGCAACCGTCTACATAAATCCACATGCAGTCAACGACATTGCAGCAGTAGTCGTGAGCACCACCGAAACCTGTCAAAAAAGCAGCAGCACACACACACATATACCATCACTGATGACCTTCAGCAAGGTGCAGTGCAAAGACGTGGAAGATTGCAACAAGCTTGAAACAGATGCAGTTGCGAGCACGAGATTCCGGAGAGAGTGTATGGGCTCTGGCAAAACTCCTGCTCCAGATCCAGAACAAAGACCACTGCGCCTCTCCCAAAAAATAGATGTCTACCGGCGAGCCCGCCCCTAAAACTCCGGCAAGCCAGCGATCCGCCTCCCCTAAAATAGATCGTCTGGGACGTCGAACCTACAAGATTTCTACTACGAATTTCTACTGCGGCCATTTCCGGATTATTTTGGAGAAGGATCGGAGGTACCTGTCCTGCAGATTGTCGACGTCCATGTCTTCAGCCGCCTCCTCGCGGACCTCCTCGCGCGCCTCCCCTCGTCGACCTCGCGTCAGCTTCGCCGCCCCGGGAGCTGGACGCCGCGACGACCGTCGCATCGGAGATTTGGAGCGAGCTTGGGGGAGAGGAACGAACAGAAAAAGGGAAAATGTTGCAATGTGGGTAGGGGTGAGGGAAGGGGGTGCGGGTGAGACAACCCGACCCGATAGACGCGTCCTTGTCAGCTCGCGTCGTGCGCTACACCGGGTCCGTCGGATCTCTCGCGATCGGACGGTGCGTGAGGAGATTTACGCGAGCGAGAAATCAGTTGGTTGGAAGGAAGCGTTTTCCAAATGTGTTTCATGCTCGAGGAATTGACTTTTCTCATGTAAAACCGCCGTCTAAATGGATTCAGGTTACGGACACACCCAAAGGCAGTCCACGACAGGTACCGAGCCGGCCCCATGGCCATGGCCGCCGCTGTCGCGCGCCGCCTCCTCCGCCTGCTCTCCTCGCGCTCGAACCCTAAACCCGCCTCCCTCTCCTCCTGCTCCTCTTCCTCCTCCTTCGACACTCCGGCCACCGCCGGCGAGCGCGAGGGCGACCCCCTCTCGTGGCGCCTCCTCCGCCTCCGGTCGCCGGGCGCGGCGGCCGCGGCCATCGACGGATGGGCCCAGGAGCGCGGCCGCGTCTGGCGGCCGGACCTCCAGCGTGCCGTCTCCCAGCTCCGCCGCGCACGCCGCTACGGCCACGCTCTCGAGGTCAGCGGCTTCAACCAGTAGTCCCCTCTCTGAACTCTAGTTTTAAACTTCAGGCTCTTCATCGACTGAAAATCCAGCTATTTGCCTTGTACAGTGACACTAACTCATATGCCATTTTTGAACTGAAAAATCTGATAACATGGAGATGAACCCAATTAGGCCATTCCTCGGTCGTCGCTTTACATCTTATTAGGAATAATTGCACCTTCGTTCCCCTGTTTTTATTGACTGACAGCAAGTATTGAGAGGTTAATTGCGAAGGAAGAACTGATTAACCGCAACTCTGTAAAAATTTCAGACCCTTTAAAATCTCTGCTTGCAGAGGAAGAACTGGTCAATTCAAACTCTTCATATTGTTTGATCGAAACTCTCGAGACGGGAATCTGGCACTTCTGCCGATTGGCAATTCGTGATTGTTTTAGTCCCATGTAGGCTAGAGTTGAAAATTACAACTGGCACAGCCTAAAAAAACTTCTGTTGTCCTGCAGATTTTATCATGGATGGACTCACGCAAAGAAATTAAACTATTACCATTGGATCATGCAGCTAGACTGGACTTGATTGCGAAAGTGCACGGTACTTCTCAAGCTGAGGAATATTACAACAAATTAACAAACTCTGCTTCAAGGGAAGCTGCCTCATTCCCTCTCCTCCATTGCTATGTTGCTGACAGAAATGTTCAGAAAGCAGAGTCCTTTATGGCTAGCCTGCAGAGTATTGGGCTGCCCGTCGATCCTCACTCGTTCAATGAAATGATGAAACTCTATGTTGCAACATGTCAGTATGAGAAGGTGTTCAGTGTAATCGATCTGATGAAACGCAACAACATTCCCAGGAATGCTCTCTCATATAACCTTTGGATGAACGCATGCTCTGTCTCTGATGTTTCGTCTGTACAATCAGTCTTCAAGGAGATGGATAATGATGGCACAATTGAGGTTGGTTGGAGCACATACTGTACATTGGCCAACATCTTCAAGAAACATGGACTGAATAGTAAAGCCCTGGCTTGCCTTAGGACGGCCGAAACAACATTATCAACAACACAGCGCTTAGGATATTCTTTTGTAATGACATGTTACGCTGCTCTGGGTGACAACGATGGGGTTATGAGACTGTGGGAGGCTAGTAAATGTGTCCCAGGTAGAATCCCCGCTGCTAACTACATGACTGCTATTTTATGTTTGATAAAAGTTGGCGACATTGACCGGGCTGAGTGGATATTTGGAAGCTGGGAAGCGGTGTGCAGGAAGCATGATGTGCGGGTTTCAAATGTTCTTCTAGGTGCTTATGTGAGGAACGGGTGGATTGAAAAGGCTGAGAAGCTTCATCTGCACATGCTCGAGAAAGGTGCACGGCCAAACTACAATACGTGGGAGATATTGATGGAGGGATTTGTTCAGAGTAGGCAGATGGACAAGGCTGTCAATGCCATGAAGAAAGCTTTATCTCTAATGAAGAGCTGCCATTGGAGACCTCCACTCAAACTGGTTGAGGCCATCGCAGCATTCTTCGAGGAGCAAGGAAACACGGATGATGCAAGCAGATATATTAAGCTTCTTCAAAAGTTTAACCTGACAAGCTTGCCCCTGTACAAGTCCGTGCTTCAAGCATATATTAAAGCTGATACCGTGGTGCCAACAAACATTTCCGAGATGATAGCAAGAGATGACATCGTTATGGATGAAGAAATGGACCACTTGATCATACGTGCTAGCAAGATAGATATCAGAGGCGATGTGTAACTATGAAATGTAACAGCCTGTGATCCATACACATGCTATATAGCATTTTGCTGATGTCGCAAAATAGAACTGCAGATTAGACTGAGAACAACACATGATAAAACAACATTTCATTGCTTAGCAGGCAAGCAAAGTGAATTCTTGTCTGTCATCTGAAGTGATGATTTCTCACAGAGATGACAATTTTATGCTTTTATTGTGGAGGATCTCCGTTGTATGTACTTGAGACGAGACTGAGAAATTTGGAGGGCTTCATACTTTTGTGAGAACCGGATAATGGGTTCTTATAGCTTTATTGGGATGATTAGTCATGAGCAAAGTGAATTCTTATTTCTTAACAGAGATGACGATTATATGCTTTTATTGTGTAGGATCTCTGTTGCCTGTACACGATCCTGAGAAATTTGGAGGCCTTCATACTTCTGTAAGAACCGGATTAGGTGGTTCTTATAGCTTTATAGAGATGATTAGTGGTGTACTTGTGTGTGTATTTTCCTTTTTCAAAGATTTGTTGTCTCTGAATACTGTAGTTATTCATCTTCAATATCATCCCTGGAGTTTTGTCAAACTAGGCAACATTGGTTGTACTTGGTTTGTGTTTTCTCTTTGTAATAATAAAGTGCATTGGCTAGGCGTGTCACATTAAATTCTTGATCTTGGTACAGAGTTCCGAAAGGCAATACCATTCTTCCTACTAAGAAAATTCATTATTTGTTTATAAAGAATGGTTAAAGCTCTCGCACCCGCTAACCTACTAAGGACCAAGCTCATGGCATTCTTAGCCACACTTCTTACTGGAGTAGAAGTTTAAGATGAGAAGTACTAGGCCAGCTATTGACCTACCGGAGGACCAATGGCTTCATGTCACTCCCTACCATCACCATCCAAGTTCTTTTATAAGGAGCGGTGCTTCTTTAAGCTAAAGATGAATATCTTTTTACCATATTACTTCTCCTTTTTGAAAAAACCATATTACTTCTCTGCCTTGGAATTACACAATTCCAATTTTGTACATAAGTTATTTGTGTCTCTACACACATAGGGATTGGAAATTAATAGCAATGGGCATAGGGGGCACCAGGAACTACCGATGGATCACAACATTCATTTCCTACCGACATGCCTGTCTGTCAGAATCATTCGACATGCCGCCATCTCCTGCCATCTTGAGAAAGCAACCGTTCTCCAAGCTTGGCTGGGATGGATGGCTAGAGAAAGCAGGCGTCACAGTCGCTAGATGGATCCGGAAGAACGAGATAAGGTGGCTCGTATAGTTTTATAGGGATGAGTAGTGTTGTAATTCTATGCGATACATTTTTTTTCAGGACTTGCTGTCTTTGAGTACTGTAGTTATTCATCTTCAATGTCATCCATGGAGTTTAGTGAAACTAGGCAACATTGGTTGTACTTGGCTTGCCTTTTTTCTTTGTAATAATGAATTGCATTGGCTAGGGTGTGTGTCACCTTTAAATCTTGATTTCGGCACAGAGTTCCGAATGTCAATAGATACTACCGTTCTTCCTAGTAAGGAAATTCATTGTTTGTTTAAAGAATTGTTAAAGCTCTGGCACCCGCTAACCTACCAAGGACCAAGCTCATGGGTTTCTTAGCCCCAATTCTTTTCAGCTATCTACCTACATGAGTAGAAGTTTAAGATGAGAAGTACTAGGCCAGCTATTGACTGACCGAAGGACCAATGCCTTCATGTCACTCCCTACCATCACCACCCAAGTTCTTTTATAAGGAGCAATGCTTCTCTAAGCGAAAGATGATATCTTATTTACCATTTTACATCTCTGCCTTGGAATTACACAATTCCAATCTTGTGCATTAGCAATTTGTGTCTATACACACATAGGGATATGAAATTGATAGGTATGGGCATAGGATGCACCGGGAACTACCGATGGACTACAGGATCACAACTCTTATCAAAGAAATCTCGCGGAAGAACTATGACCACTATCTTGACACCCTTGACACAAGTACATGGTTGATCGTTGTTGTGGCGGCAAGCTCTCTGCACCCTCCATTTCGGCGGCAAGATCTCTGCACCCTCTAGTCTGAAGAATTCGTCATCTTCAGTTAATTCAAATCATGTACCGTTTTGGCAGCAAGCTCTCTGCACCCTCCATTCGTCATCTGCCTTTGATCCGACGCTGACTACATCACATACCGCTTTAGGCATTCGAGAATGACTATTGACCGTGGTCCTCAATCGAACGGACGTCAAGCTCTTGTGTGTTACTATTAACTTACTAACTTTCTGAAACTCCGCTACTCTGTTTCATTACCTGCTCCCTACCTTTTCTCTTTTACCATGGACCTGTAAGGCTATAAAGCGAACATTGTAGAAACTTGTTGGTCATTCTCTATGTACTGGGTTAAACCTTTTTTTTTTGTGGGAATACTAAGTTAAACCTTAGTCGTCAGTGTTTTTGGTCGGCCCTGGCGTATTTGAAATCACACTAAGTTCTAGCTTTTCCTCCAAATTTTTGACGTTTTGTTCAGTTGAGTAGATTTTTTCCGTTTTCTTAATCAAATGGCCTATAATATCATAATTTAATTTCAATTTTGAAGTTGCTTAACAAGAGCTTGTCAGCTCGGTTGTTCCTTATAGCACGTACGAAGCAGGCTACCTAAGCAAGTTTATTGATCTCAGGAGACTTGCACGTACGAAGAGAACAAAGCTAGCCGGATTGATCCGCCGCGTGACGAGCACACACAAGACGCCTCAATTTGATGGCAACAAGACCGACATAGGATGCACTGAAGCTAGGCAAATCCATCGTGCCTCTGTTCGGCTAGTACAGTAGTACATGCGTGTTGAAAGAAGCTACATTACTGGCGCATCAGTTGAAACCGCCGCGTGTGGATCCTGCTCTATTGCTGAAAGCAGGATGTTGATATCATGGTGCGCGGGGTATTCCTGGAAGTCGCCTCTTTGCTGCTTTGATGTCCCTGAGAAGCAGAGCGTTCTATCTGATCGTGATTTTTTGGTTCTGTTGACTTTGTTCTTTTGTGCATTTTCTTGTGAAAGTGTTATGGTGTTATTTGGTGATTGTGGTGCTATCAGATTTTTGTCCCGTGATAGATGTTCCGAGGTCGAGCATTTATAGCGGGTTTCCTGGTAGTGCTCCAACTCGCTCTCTCTTTCCTAGTTTCCATCTTTAGTATGTCGATTAGTAGTGTTGGAGATGGTTGTAATAAGGATGAAAACTCGGTTATCTTTCTATTAAGTGATTAATGGAAAAGGGGATGCTTGGTTGAAAAAAAAAGTACAGTAGGCCAGATGTGCGGGTTGCAGGAAGAGGATAAGTTGGAGATGGTTGTCATAAGGATGAAAGCATTCTAGCACGGTTGGAAACTCTATTGAGAACCCTATGGTTGGATTTTTGGAAGCTGGGAAGCGGAGTGCAGGAAGCATGATGTGCGGGTTTCAAATGTTCTTCTAGGTGCTTATGTGAGGAATAGATGGATTGAAAAGGCTGAGAAGCTTCATCTCCACATGCTACAGAAAGGCGCATGCCCAAACTACAAGATGTGAGAGATATTGATGGAGGGATTTGTTCAGAGTAGGTAGATGGACAAAGCTGTCAATGCCATGAAGAAAGCTTTATCTTAATGAAGAGTTGCCATTGGAGACCTCCAGTTAAACTAGCTGAGGCCATCACAATGTTCTTCGAGGAGCAAGGAAGTGCGGGCGATGCAAGCAGATACATTAAGCTTCTTCAAAAGTTTAACCTAATAAGTTTGCCCCTGTACAAGTCCGTTCTTCGACCATATATTTAAAGCAGATATCATGCTGCCAACACACGTTTCCGAGATGATGGCAAGAGATGACATGGTTATAGATGAAGAAATGGACCACTTGATCATACGTGCTAGCAAGGTAGATATAACAGGCAATGTGTAACTATGAAATGTAACAACCTGTGACCCAGTCACATGGTATATAGCATTTCAGCTTACGTGGAAAAATAGAACTGAAGATTAGACCGAGATCATCACATGACAAAACAACACTTCATTACTTAGCAGGCAAGGTTATTTTTTGGCTTTTCTTTGTGAAGTAATTGTTTCTTAACCGAGGATGATTATATGCTTTTATTGTGGAGGATCATTGTTGTATATATGTAGACAATCCTGAGAAGCTTGGAATGCTTCATACTTCTGTAAGAACAGGATAAGGTAGTTCTTATAGCTTTATAGGGATGAATAATCTTGTAATTATGTGCGATATTTTTTTTTCAAGACTTGTTTTCTCCGAGTACTGTAGTTACTCATCTTCAATATCATCCATGGAGTTTAGTGAAACCACGCAACATTGGTTGTACTTGGCTTGCCTTTTCTCTTTGCAATAATGAACTGCATATGATAGGTGTTTCACCTTAAAATCTTGATCTCAGTACAGAGTTTCGAATGGCAATATATGCCACAATTCTTCCTAGTAAGGAAATACATTGTTTGTTTAAAGTACTGTTAAAGCTCTCGCACCCGCTAACCTACCAAGGACCAAGCTCATGGGTTTTCTTACCCCAATTCCTTTCAGCTATCTACCTACAGGAGTAGAAGTTTAAGGTGAGAAGTACTAGGACAGCCATTGACCTATCGGAGGACCAATGGCTTCATGTCACTCCCTACCATCACCATCCAAGTTCTTTTATAAGGAGGGGTGCTTCTTTAAGCTAAAGATGAATATCTTTTTTACCATATTACTTATCTTACTTGGAATTACACAATTCCAATTTTGTACATAAGTTATTTGTGTCTCTACACACATAGGGACATGGAATTGATAGGTATGGGCATAGGAGGCACCGGGAACTACCGATGAATTGCTGGATCAGAACTTTCATTTCCATCTGACGCGCCCGTCTATCAGGGCTATCCAACTCGCCACCATCTCCTGGCATTTTGAGGAAGCAACAATTCCCCAAGCTTGGCTGGGATGGATGGCTAGAGAAAGCAGGCGTCACCATCGCTCGATAGAGCCGGAA